ATCATTCTATGCCAAAAAAAGCTTAAATAGAGTGGCTTCTCTCTCACATGCACACACACAGAGCAGTAAGAAAGCAAAATGTTACCACTGTTTAAAGAGAAAAAGACCTGTGGTTTGCGCATGAACGCCAGCCTCCTATCTTGATGAAATCTGTATTTAAAACCTATGCAAATGATATGCGTGCACGTGTACATGTATCCATTAAATGCTTCTTCCAAGGGGGAAATGGTGCCTGTAAAAACACATGAGAAGTAAAGAGTTTGTGGAGGCACCGGAAGATGATGATGTATTCCTGCATTAGGTTTTAAAACTTCATTTTGCAGCTACCTGAAGTTAAGACAAAGCTGCCTTTAGGCATCTCAAACTAGTCAGACCTGCTGTAGCAGTTGCAGTCTGCTTCAAATATGCCCTCCACGCTCCTTTCAACCTCCACCCCAACATATATCCGCATAGTTTACCTCCAATCATGGGTGGTTCTTTCTATAGCGCAGTTCACTCAACCTTACTGCCTGGCATGACAGGAGATTTTTAAAGAGTAATGTTACGGGCTGCTATAAGAAACTGTATGAAAACAGCTGATAACTGTCACGTTTCCATTAGAGGTGAGCATGGCCCACACAGCACAAGGGTTTTCCAGTGGGATGGAAAAATCTAGGATCAAGAAAACAGCCTAATTTGTCACAGATCATCCAAGCAAGTTTGAGGGCGAGTTTAGATCTTTCCACCACCTCTGGGTTCCTTTGAAAAGGGAACTTCTTTCTTCTGCTACTCCCATATACTGCCCAGTTTTAAAAATAACATTAAAAGGAAACAATCCACATTTGCACTTCAGTCTTTGTATTCTGCCTTATTAAGAATACAATTATTTGAGCTTCACTAGAAAAAGAAGCTGTCGGATGAAATCCAACACATCTTACTGGTGTGAAAACAAAGTAAACAGGCTTTGCCTGCTAATAATTACACAGACTTGAGACTCGTGTCATTCAATACCACTTAAAATTCAATTACAGAGCAATATTAACAAGAAATTCCTCTTTAAGCCCCCTGCTCCTCAAAACACTGATCATGTATATAGGTTGGGAACTTCAGATTTTATACAGCAACACCTATAGTTTTACGTACCAGGCAGCATACTGAACCCAGCCCCATATTTGGAAGGATAATGGTCCGAGCTTGCCTAACACAGGACTCTGAGCATGGTTTTAATATCACTGCAGCAGCCTGAATCCACACTCAATCTGATGTGGTGGTGGTGGCTGCTGTCCCACTTGAGCTTGCAGAGTCTCCGCCCTCAAAGAAGGGACACGTGAAAAGTAAAAACTTGCTGTTCGGTGAGGTGACAGCTCCTCCAGTCCTTTCAAGCCATCTTACTCCTCATCACGAAGTCAAGCTGCTTCTGAAGGCCGATGGGCTGTACTACCAGCTACCCAATGCCCCTGCAGACTGCCCCAACTCTCCCCTGGAAATGCCCCTCAGATCAGCTCTTCCCCACTCAGGAATTCCCCTCTGTGCAGGAGGAATCTCCCAACTGTGGGTTTAGTGCTTCTTCACAGCTCCTCCTGGCCACTTCGCAATGACACCAAGCATCTCACACGTTCATCAGGAGCCATCAGTGCAGCAAAGGTCGCTGTGCAGTTTCTATTCTACACAATGACACACCATTTCATTACCATGCAGCCCCAACCAAGACTGAGGGTAGGGACCCTGCTGTGATGGATGCTTTACAGCCACAGCACACACACAGGCCCGTTGCTTCCACAAAACCTCTGCCACACGTTTCTGGATTCTGTTTTGCTTGACTTCAGCTCATCCAGCAGCAAAGTGAGCACTGCATTTACAGAGCTCTCTTTCCCCACTTGTGGTGAACAGTCAGCATTGTTATCTTATTTTTTTGTTATAGTGTTTGCACTGGTAATGCTGAGCAAACCTGAAGCCTCCACTACAGCAAACACAAAAAATAAGACTTTGTTTAGAGAAGAATTAAAGAACACACACATGCTGGGGGGGGGGGGGGGTCGGGTCCTCTCTCCATTTACAGAAAACAGGTACTTATTCCTGACAGCACAGTTGCCCTGACTGATCGAATTTAGAAATGCAACCAATGGCACAAAACATGCAATTATATCCCCCTGAAGCAAATGAGTGCTGTTCTGAGATTGGCAAATTCCATTTTCTACAAACCATTAATTAGCAGGAGATTCATCTACGCTCAAGATCTGTGCTTACTGCCAACCTGCTTGCATTTAAGCTGGACCTTGCTCTCTCCTTTGGAACAGTCCTGATCTTTGGACTTGGTAACTGAGAGTTGCCTTTTCTGGCACTGATTTGGGTGCCTGTTACAAGGAACTGTTGCAACTGGAGCTCTCTCTTCGTGAAATGGTTACACATATAAAGCAGAGTAAAAAGACAGCGCCTCTCCTGCTACCCAGCCCTTATAAAAGTAGATCAGCAGAAAACTACTTACACTTTCAAAGTACTGCATTCCCCTTGACAGATTACACTTTAAGATGTTACATAAAAGCAAAAATAGTCACAAGTATTTTGGATCACCTGTCTAGTGTTAGCACTGCTGGAGACAAACTGTGCCAAGAATGTTTTACATCAGTGCGAAAAAAGAAGTCAGAGTTCCTAAAAAAATTCTTTTTCCCTATGAATTATTTATTGGAAAAATAAAAGCAGCTTCTGTAAATGATGGCAAAATCCCCTTCAAAACAGATATTGCATAAGATCTGTTGTACTTCATGGAAGCTAGGAAAAAAATACAAGACTATGAAATTTGATGTTTTCCTTGATACTAGGACATTATTTCAAATTCCTCAATGCCTCTCAGGCAGACAATTTGAGTGCTTGGATTATTTACATTATTATTTCCACCAAAACAGAGAAACTCCTTATTTCATCTTTCCCATTAAAATGAACAGGTGTATAAAGGAATACAATTACAATCCTTTATAAATCAGCACCTACAGACACATTTAATGCTCTTTTAAGACTGCTTCTCCTACAGACAAAACCTGAAGTACCTACGGCTAGCAAGTTTCTTTCTGTTTGTTTTTAACCGGCTTCAGAGAATAAGAAATCAGCTTGACAGGAAAATCAAAGCAGCGTCTTAACATGCACAAAGTCTAGCTTCATTCGTTAGCAGTCCAATCCAGTTCCTGCAGGAAAGGAGTGGGTGGTTTTTGCTACCAACTTAAATGGAAGTAGGATCAGTCACGAAAGGAGGAAGAGCCATAGCTGTTACGTTAGATGCTGCAATACTTGCCTGGACAATGGAAGGATTCCCTAGGACACATTCTGGGATACCTGTCTGGCAGCACAAACGGCTAATCCTCCTCCCATCTCCTACTACCACCACCACTAGCTCATTATGGTAAATCAGATTCCAAAGATACCATCTTATTATGTAAAAAACGTATGCCTTTTAACTTCAAGCCGAAAGGGCTACTTTCAGTTTACCCTGCTTAATCGACTGCTTCATTTCTACAGCAATTTAAGCACAAGCAGCGGCAACTTTTAAGAAAGCACAGTTAATTCCTACAGTTCTTTTTACCACGTGAAAGCTTCCCGTGCACTTAGGTGGAAAATGAGGTGCCTCAGTCAATTTTGTACCCTGCGAGAAGCCCGTAAGACACAGGCACCTTCATTTGTGCAGCTGAATACCCCAAAAGAAATCGGAATAAAGAGGTGGGAAGTGTAATTTCAACTCGCACAAACAGAACTGTTTATTCCATTCGAGAGACACGAGCATAAAACTGTTGTTAGGGGGCAGCCAAGCCCTCTACCACCATTGTTCGAGCAATAGCGTGTTCTCCGGTGGCCAGATCCAGCACCCACTGACGGCAGCGAGAGCCACCCCGCTGACTTCACCGGGCACTAGCTCAAACTGCCTGGACTTTTCCTGATCCCGGGAGCTTTTGGCTTGTCTGGACACAGACTGACACATGCAACCGCTTTGGTGTGCTGCGCTGAAGTTGGGGTGAAGGGGCTAAGCCCCCCCCCCCCCCCCCCCCGATGGAGGTGAATTGGGCAGATTCGCTTTCTTTTACACGGGCAGCTGACCCGTAGCTGTAAATCAGCCACCAAAGGGTCCCAGGGGGACAGCATGCAAACCCCTCCCGAGATTTTCAACGCAAGTGGCCCCGGGTTTCCCAGCTGTGCCTCACAAAACGCAAGGAATGACAGCAGGTAACCGCACTCGCTCTTTCCACGCTTAAACAGAACGTACATTCCCGGATCCTGACACACTGACACGAATAAAGCAGCAAACGCTCTAAATGAAAGCAGCACCGCAAAAGGACCTTTTCCAAGTATTCCCCCATCCTGAAGGCAATCCCAATAAACGGGGGCACTGCTTCTAAATGCACCCCAAACGCCTGTTTCTCCGTTTTGGCGCTGCTCCCAAGGAGGAGGGCACAGCCACGCTAATTCCTGCCCTGCTGCCGCCCCAACACCAACCCTGGAAGGGTCCGGCCAGCGGGGCCATATGTCAGCTTCGCTCCGGCGGAGTCGCAGCCTCCCCCAAGCCCTTTTAGCCCTCCCGGCCCCACAGCACGCACTTTTAAGGGTAGCCCGAAGCCCCCGCTGCTCTTGCCTGGGTAAACGGAGGCACGGCTGCAGCCGCCTGGCTCCGAGGCGCACACGTTCACTTACCGGGGTAAGGCTTCGAGTCAGGTGTAGCACGGCTCTTCGGAGCACAACCTCCCAGCACTACCGGGGCCGGCACAGCAGCCCCGATTAAAAGTATATTCCAACTCCACGCACGCACCTGCTCCAGCCCCGGGATCCCCGCACATCGGCGGCGGGAGGAGGAAGGGGGATGTAGTATTTTAAGGATCAACTCTCCCTCCTCTGCTCATCTCAGCACGGAGGAGAGGGGGAGGACGCCCGCCCGGGTACGAATTTAAAGGTAGAGATAAAACCAGCCCCGATGACTCGCAAAGCCGAGGTGGGGGTCACGGCCCCCCGCTCCCCCCTTGCCGCCCCCCAGCTCTACTCACCACATGCAGCTCCACCTGAGAACTAACGCATGGAGGGGAGGGGAGGTCGCAAACTCTCGCCCTAGAGCAGCTCCATATGTCGCTCCCTCGCCGCGCCGCTCCGGGGAGGGGCCGGGTGGGATGCGGAGGAGAACGAGGAGGAGGAGGAGGAGAAGAAGGAGGAAAAGGAGGAGGAGGCAGGCGCAGGCGGCGTGAGGATTTAAGCCTCCGCTCTCCCCCGGCGGCTGCGATCACGCAGCATTATACAATGGAGGAGGAGGAGGAGAGGGAGGAGGCACCAGCCCCAGCTCCCAGCACTTGCCGCCAGCACTGACGACAGGGGCGGCTCCGGCGAGCTCCTCGCCCTCCGGCCCGCGTTAAAGCCCCGCCTCGGCCCCGGCCTTCCTCCCCCCGCATCCCCCGCTGCTGCTGCTCCTCCTTCTGCTCCCGGCTCCCTGCGCTGCCCACCCGTGCCCCGACCGCGGGGGTTCCCTGGGAGCGCTGGCCCGGCACAAAGGCGGGTGCCAGCGCGCCCCGACCGCAAATATGACAAGTATCCCTGCGATCCCCGACCAGGACCCCGCCGCGCTGCCCTCCCCCCCGGGTCGGACCGGTCATAGCCCCCCTTCCCCAGCCATCTCCCGGTCGGGCCAAGCGGAGCGGGGAGGGATGCAGGAAAGCCGGGGCGCTGCCTGCCGCCCCCCGCCCCGGGAGCTCACCTGGGAGCCGAGGGAGGCGGCGCCCCCCTCCGCGGGATCCTCGGTGCTAATTTGGGCTGTGCAGGCACCACCGAAGCACAAAAATGAGGCCAAACGGAGATGCTGGAGAGCACGAAGACTTGGGGGGAGGGAGTGAGAGCTCGGCACCAGGCGCTGTCTGGAAAGAAGATGATTATTTTAAGTTACCTCCGATGATTGTGTTTGGAAGGGGGCTGTAATCTCAGGCGACGATGTGAACACCTTCCAGTTTTGGCTGCAGCCCCAAAGGCATCTCGGATCATTACCAGCCTTTGATGTCCCACTAAACCGGTTGTATTTCGGGACAATAAAGCTTTAAGACCTAACATAAAGGCGATTATTAGTCATTAATATCACGACTCGTTTAGGTATTATGCTCAAAATGGCCTGTAACGATTCGCGATCAATCAAGCTGATGGTCTTGTTCGAAATTAAGTTCCATTTTCAGCTAGAAAACTGTAAAGGAAAAGGAAGGGAAGATTTCCTTAACCTGGAAATTGTATCTCTCAAAAATCCACAACGGGGGAAAAAAAACCAAACTGGTGAATCTGCCAAAACAGAAAGAGATAAAGGGATGATTTTATGGATTCTTAAAATTACAATTGAAAAGACCCCATCTAGTTGAGTTTTAAACACCAAGACTGGTATTTCAGGTAATATTCTGCTGAAGTCACTGCAGTGGGAGGAAAGGGCATCACATCTAAAAACCACCCTTTGACTTCGCCACTTCTGGAGGCCTGGGCACCCCTTTCCCTTCCACTTCTGCTCAGCCATTCCTTTGAGGAGATCCAAACACTCTCAGCCTCCCTTTGCCTGCAGTAAAGAGGGAGCCCAGAACCAGATCTGCAAAACAATTCACGAACCATTTACTGCCTTTTGACGAGTGACTTACGAATTGCTCCAGAGCTGGCAAAAATTAAAACCAGAATTTCCCCCAGCTGGATTCTTTCCAGCAGCAAGGCTCTGAAACGCGGTCCTTCTACTCAAGGAAACAAACATCTTGAAATTACAAGTCATACTAAAAATGACTAAATAGAAGGAAAAGATTCCTTTTGTTTCAGGCCTGAGTGGTGCCTGTTCAGTGGGCTTCAGCCTACTCAAAAGCCACCCAGAGTATTTGTAATACCTGTACATGTTTAGTGATAGGAGGAGAAGGAATGGCTCTAAACTGAAAGAGGTTTAGGTTAGACATCAGACCCCGTGAGGGTGGTGAGGCCCTGGCACAGGGTACCCAGAGAAGCTGTGGCTACCCCATCCCTGGCAGTGCTCAAGGCTAGGCTGGATGAGGCTTGGAGCAGCCTGCTCTAGTGGAAGGTGTCACTGCCCATGGCAGGGGGTTGGAACTGGATGAGCTTTAAGGTCCGCTTCCAACTCAAACCATTCTACGGTTTTTGGCAGAGGTTTTTCTTTCTGCATGCTGGATCAATTGAATTTCAGGGCCACATTCTGCCCTGCTTCACACCAGATTTGTAACACAGCAGGATCTGGCCTTGCGTAACCGCTCTATGGATGCACCCAGATGAACCTTCTGGAGCTCAAAGTCCGCAGCAGGTTTGCAGTCCCAGTGCCTGGGTGTGTGCACACTATCACCGGCACCATAGGCACAACCACAAGCATTTGCTAAATAAGCAGCTGGGCTCCAGTCTAATATCCAAGGCCCTGATCTTGCCATGTTACACTCAGCAGTAAAAGGCCTGAGCCTGCATCGTCTGTTTTAAATGCTTCTGACTTTGTTCGGTTGCTCCAATTTTACACGAGCATAAGAGAAAACTCACCGCCCCTTCTGTTTCCTACTGTAACTCCCCTGGGCCTTTCTTGGCAGGAGTTTATAGTCACGCTGTAACTGGGATTATTCCTGCGAACACAACTAGTACAACCTGCATCCACACTCTGAAGCACTCTCAGCTGAGCACAGGTCACAATACCGATCAATACGAGTAGAGCTCCTTCCTCTGTCTCGCACGCAGCAGAGGCTCCATCGTGGCGGGGTGAGGTTGAGCTATGCAAGGTGAATAATCCTACCACTGACTGCTCCTCAGATTGCCTCCTACCCGATTTAACGAGACCTTGCTGGCCTCGAAACTCCGTTCTGCAGCTCCGGAGTGATCTGACCAGAAGGTGTCTGCAAGGCCCAAACACAGTTTGCCCAAACATGTTAGTAAGCACAGAGAAACAGCCTGCAACCGAGCCACGAAACGCTGTACGAGGAAGTGTGTTGGCAGAGGCAAGAGCCTGCAGGAGAGGGGAAAAAGTCTGCATGTCTGCGAGGAGGAGCTACCCAAAAGGCATCCCATTTGGAATGGTGCTTCCTGATGAGCAGTAGCACAGATGTAATTTTGCAGTCATAGCCTTGACACAGACCCTCGCCCGTGAAGGCCACACACTGAAAGAGAAGGAGCCTGACTGCATTTTTCTACACTGGTACGGACCTGATATGGGCCACAGGCACAATCTAAGCACAGCCTTGTCTGTGAGCTAGGATAGTCAAAGCTTGCCTGATTAAGGCCATGTCTCCTGTACATCATCCCAAACCCTTCTGTGTTAAACAAATGAAATAACAAAGATTGGAAAGACTGGGAGGGGGGAAACAAGCACCAGACTTCATAGGGCAGTTTATCAGAGCTACTCTGGACTTTTAGGTAATCTCTGCCTATCAACACGTGTACTAATTAGGAAAGAGTAGCAACATTTGGTGTGCTGGAACATTGACATCCCTCATGTTTTTCGAGTAAAGAGGCAGTGAACTGCTTCCTACGTTTCTAATTGTATCCTTGGCCTTTTTTTTTCTAATTGCAGTACACATTAACACTGAGATTTCATCAGGTAATTGTATAACACATCTTCATTTTCTCCCTGGATGTTTTTGCTGCAGTGCATGCAGGAGCTGGCAGGCAAATACCCAGTACTGCCCCCAGAGCACACAACTGTTTGCAAATAAAGACCCCACCATCACCTGTAACTTGTGGCCAGGAGAGCCAACACTATCCTGGGGTGTACTGGGAGTACTGTGGCCAGCAGGTTGAAGGAGGTGATCCTCACCCTCTATTTGACCCTGGTGAGACCACATCTGGAGTCATCTTTCCTCAGTAAAAGAAAAACAAGGAGCTATTGGAGAGGGTCCAGCCAAGGGCCACAAGGATGCTCAGGAGTCTGGGGCATCTTTCTTATGAGGACAGATTGCAGGAGCTGGGCCTGTTTAGTCTGGAGAAGACTGAGCAGGGATTTCATTAATGCATATAAATATCTCAAAGACAGGTGCCAGTAGGATGGTGCCAGATTCTTTTCAGTGGTGTCCAGTGACAGGATGAGGAGCAACGGCCATAAACTACAACACAAGAGGTTCTACCTCAACATGAGGAAGAGCTTCTTTATGTTGAGGGTGGCAGAGCACGGGAACAGGCTGCCCAGGGAGGTTGTGGAGGACCCGCCTGGACATGTTCCTGTGTAACCTGCTCTAGGTGGCCCTGCCTTAGCAGGGGGTTGGACCAGATGATCTCCAGAGGTCCCTTCCAACCCTAATGATTCTGTGATTCTGTGAGAAGCATAACAAAGGACCTACATACAGCCAAGGATGCTCCTTCCACCAGATCCCCACTGAGGAACCAAGGTCTTACAGATAAGACGAAAGCACGCTACAACCAAAGGCATGTAAACATCAAAACCTTGTGCCATCCCTGTTCAGGCCAGCTCTGGAGTCAGTACTGACCTTCTAGAGCAGGGCCCTTCTTATGCAAGGCTCAGCCATAGATAAAAGCAAGGCCCTCAACAAAAACAAAGTGGGGTACTGCATTACTGCACTCTGCACCTATATGTTAGCAGGGAGGAAGCTGCACCTTGAGATTTCAATTGCCTTTTTGCCTTTTTTCACTGGTGCAACTCTCCCACTGTAACAAGGCTGCCCCACACATCCCAACGCACAGGAATCAGGTAAAAGCAAAGGAAGGAAAGCTTCCCCTTTCCCACTCCAATTTTAGCTCTTCTTTTCCCTTTCATTTTCTGTGTTAGTTCATGTTTTTCTCCTTTAATGTTTTTGTGGCAGTAGGAGAAACACCGTTCCCTAGAATGCATAATATGCTTAATTATCATTCTCCGTTAGTTCTCTAGGAAAAAAAAAAAAAACCTACAGGAGAAATCAGTTTAATTAATGAGTATGACCAAATGCAGCCTTAGTTCTAATGCAGTATCATATATTATACGTCCAGTTGGGCAGTTGGTCTTACTTGGGTAAAATGAACAGAGATGCAGAAAACCATGGAGCTCATGAATCAATATTCTCAGCGCAACTAACCCCTTTTGTACAGTTATTCTAAGCCTTCCTACAGATTTCGATGCCAGCGTCTGTTCCCAAATACTGCTTTTGGCTTCAGTAACGCAGGATCGGGCTCGTACAGTCTAGTAATAGAAAGCTGTTGCTTGGCAGTACCAAGGGTTGTGCCACATGGTAAATTCATTAAGTAATTAAGAGAAAAAACACAACAACCTAAACTCCAAGATAGGTCTGAAACAGTCAAATACCCAGTAAGAGTCCCCAGTGTGTGTCAAGGACAAGGGTGGCAAGGTTTCATCTGAAAGTAGGACTTGGTGATTTAGATGCTTTTCAAAAGGGCTACTCCTCACATACTAAATTATTAAGGAAATATTATGGAACAGGATTATCAGGAAAGGGAAAAAAAAAAAAAGAAGCAGTGTGCATTAGCTGGCTTAGTCAGAGGAGGTTTTGCTGCATTCCTCATGCAGGGAGATGACTCCCTCCCTCTGTAATTCCCTGTGCACTCCCAGTCCTCTGGAGACTGCTGGTGTGCATCATCCTCACTCCAGCTGAAACATTCTGTCCTGACAGAGGTTCAGGCTGCCTACCATTGCTGTTTATCTTCTTACATCTTTTTGCCTCTTCTAAATAGCTATGTTCTTTGCCCAAATCCCATTCACACTGTACCACCTGCAAGATGTACTTCAGTTCTGACCCAGGCCAGACTGCTCACACCGATGCCATTTGTACGGCACACAGGCTTCTCTACAGTCTCCCCTTTCCACTCATGCTTCTCGAGACAGTGGATTGTACTTTGCATTGAGTTGAGTTTTAAACACTTTCAGGCTGCTTTTCTTTCCCTTTCAGATTCTGCTCTGCAGTCTCTAGCA